ACCAGGAATGACCAGAAGAATGTGGCTGAGTGCATAGGGAGGGGTGCGGGAATAGTCCAGGCAGAGAAGGAATTGCTCCAAAAATTGAAGGCCTACATGTCTAGAGCATAGAAAATGTAGAAAACAGTAGCTTCAGATAAAATAGGTAAGCCAGCATGCACAGTCAATAGTAAGACAAGTGGGGCACTGTGTCCACACCTGCAGTCCAGTCTATCTGGGGAGTCTGAGGCAGAAGGATCACTTGACCTCACAAGTTCAAGACCAGCCTGAGCAACACAGCAAGCCTGTTTTAAAATGCAAAACAAAAAGAATATATTCATTGTGAAGGTGTTCATAGTTCATCTTTGCTCAAATGAGACTTGTTAACAGTAATGATTGGGAGAGTTATCATCTGAGTTGTTTTATATTTTTTTATATTGGAAAAATTTTTAAATCTTTTATTTATTTGGTACAGGGTCTCACTATGCAGCTGACTTGTAGTGATCCTCTTGTCTCAGCCTCCCCAGCACTAGGAACAAAGCTTTATAAATAAGGGGTTTTTGTTTGTTTGTTTGTTTGTTTGTTTGTTTTTTTGTGGAAGAACCAGGGATTGAACTCAGGCCCCTGCGCTTGCCAGAGAAGCGCTTATTCCACTGAGCCATCTCCCTGGTCCCTCTCCCCAGCACTAGGATTACAGACATGTGACACCATGCCAGGTTTCTGTGGCCGGCATGGCAAGAGGGCCAACATGGTATGTGGTTCTGAGGATCGAACCTGGATCCTGGTGTTTGCCAAGCAAGTGTTTAGATCGCCAAGCTATCTCCCCAGTCCAGCTGAGTCATTCTAAAGACTCATCCTACCTGTTGGTTAGAAAATAAATTGAAGGTTGATGTCACTGAGAGGGCATCCTCAAAGATGCATGGACTCCTCCTTTGAATAATATATCTTTTTTTTTTTGAGTAATATATCTTACGAGGATTGCTTTTATTTTCATTCTTTTAAATGTATTTAGTACAGGGTCTATAGGGCCTCACTACGTAGATCAGACTTGTTTTCAGCCTCCCATGCGCTGGGATTACAGGCTATTTTCATTTTTATAAATACATTTGTGTTCATATAATCTATCTGGCAACTTAGAGAATGCCCACTTGAAGAATCAAAATTCATGTTTAGAAGAGTGAGAAACAATGTTTTTCAAAGACATATATTTTTCTTAGATTTTTTTAAATGGAATGATCTAGTAGACTCCTAGTTTTGAATATTTAAATCTTTTAATTTCTGTATCTTTATGATACAGTTAAAAAGTTTTCCATAACTTCTATAATACCATAGTTCCCAGATTTGCTTTTTAGGGTTTTTTTTTTAATGTATTTGGTACAGAGTCTCACTACACAGATCTATTGGACTTGTAGTGATCTTCCTGTTTTCAGCCTCTCCAATGCTGGGATTACGGGCTTCCAGACGTGTTGCACCAGCACCACCACACGGGCTCAGTGCCCCAGGGGGTGTGGGGGTGAGGGGAGTGTGCAGTGCGGCATATGGTGCTGGGGACTGCCATGGTCCTAAGCTTGCCTAAGCAGGCATTTAGTCCACTGAGCTATCTCGCCAGCCCACTCTTTAGTTTTTGTTTATTTTTGCAGCTGCTATATTTAGTTTAGGGTTTTATGACTTCACAAAAGTACTTAATATGTCGTCTTATTTAAGTATTTCTTTCTTTCTTTTTTTTTTACTTTGGTTTGGGATCTTGCTACATATGTAGTCCAGGTTGGCCTCAAACTCACAGTGATCCTCTGCCTCAGCTTTTTGAATGCTGGGATTACAAGTGTGTGCCACTAAGCCTGACTACTCGGATCTATTTATATGTCCATCTTACAATAACTTTTAGAAATTTACTCTTTTCATTTTCTTCAGATCTTTCTACACACAGCTTCTTGAATAAGTAATTTAATTTTTTTTTCAAATGTTTTATTTTCTTAAAAAGTAGACATTGGCGGGACCAGGGAGACGGCTCAGTAGAATAAGGGCTTCCCTGACAAGTGCAATGGCCTGAGTTCAATCCCCGGTTCTGCAAAAAAAAAAAAAAGAAGTAGATGTTGGCCAGGCATGGTAGACTATAATCCTAGCACTGGAGAGGTAGAGGCAGGAGGATCATCACAAGTTCAAGGCTAGCCTGGGCTAAAGTGAATTCAATGGCAGCCTGAACTACATAGTGAGACCTTGTCTCAAAAAAAAAAAAAAAAGAATAAATAAACTTTTACCTCCATAATTTTGATATTACTTATTGATAAAAATTTCCCCAATGTTAGGCATAAATATAATGGAGATCTTTAAGTATCTCATTATTTTACTTATTCAGGTGCTTTTCACCTGGGATACTAAAACCTCTATAAATAGAATTCAGTGAATGTGTGAATTTGTATATGAAAAAATATACAAATATTTTTTTCTATATTTTATTTATTTATGTGTGTGTGTGTGTGTGTGTGTGTGTGTGGCCAGCTCAGTCCACAAGGGGGCGGGGCTGGCTGGCATGTGGTGCTGGGGGATTGAACCGCAGACCTGTGCTTTGCCGAGCTTGTTCTAAGTAGGTGCTTTAGACCACTGAGCCATCTCACCAGCCCCACAAATATTTTTATTTATACAAATATTTTACATATATTTCTTTTTACCTATCCTAGATTCATGGCTGAGGTTTCTACAACAAAAGACAGATTAAAAAAAGAAATGAGTGTGAATTTAATTAATAAACATTTTACATTTTTCATGGGCCAGTCAGATAACTCAGCGGACTAATGTGCCTATTTAGGCAAATTCAGCGGCCGGGGTTTGATCCCTGGTGTGCGTGCCGACCCTGCCCCTGGGGTGCACTGAGATGGCGATTGAGACTGGGCATGTTGGTGCACACCTGTAATCCCAGCCCTTGGGAGGCTGAAAACAGGAGAATCACTATGAGTCCAATCTACATAGTAAGACCCTGGGGACTCTGTACTAAATAACAAAAAAAAAAAAAAAAGATTTCATGAGAGGAGATTAAGACCTGAAGGAGCACTTGAAATGAAGTATTTTTTTATATCATAGTTTTAACGAGGAACTAAATTATTTTAACTGTAACATTTCCCTACACTCTTTATGATAATTATGTATTATGATATGACCATGTATTTTTTTCTGTTGTCTTTTTGAAACAGGGTTTTACTATGCAGTTCAGCCTGGCCTTGAGCTCACTTTTAGTCCAGCCTGATCCTCATGTTTCAGCCTCCTGAGTTCCTCTATTTTTAAAGCTAAAAATGCTCCTTTCAGATATAGGGATGGAACCTCTTACCTGTGAGTCTTAGAGTCCTCCCTGCCTCAGTGAGTAAGGGTGCAGGGAATGTCTCAGTGGCCTTTCTCCTTTTGTGTTTCCTCAGATGCTTTCTGCTGAAAATACTCCATATGCCAAAATCACATTTTGGGAGTAGTATCACCTGAATCCCAACCACAACCCTTGCTTGAAAGCAACTATTTTCTGAACATAGTTCATAAACTACAGTGACTTTAGCAATAGTTTAGTTCAGTTCAGTTCAGTTCAGTTTAGTTTTTGTACCGAGGGATTGAATCCAAGTATGTTCTACCCCAGAGCTGCATCTTTAGTCCTTTAGAACATTTAAAAAAAATTTGAGACAGCGTCTCATTAATTTGCCCAAGTTCACCTCAAACTTGTAATCTTCCTCCAATGTTTGAAATTTTTATCATTAAAAGAATATCTAAGGGTCGGGGAGATGACTCAGTAGAATAGGCACTTCCCTGGCAAGTGCAAGGGCCTGAGTTCAATCCCCAGTTCCAAAAAAAAAAGAATATCTAGATATTTTTATATCACATTACAACTTTTGTTTTCAAAATATCATACTCATCTCTATTTCAAATTTAGGATGGTTATTAATCCTTATATTATTGTTATAAATTT